CAAATTTTCAACATGTATCTAGAAAAAAAAAACAGGACAAGTAGATGGACTGTATTAGATCTAGATCATGAACAAAAAAAAAAAATTTAGTACGTGTGCACAGTACGTACGTACTGTACATACGTATGTACTGTACGTGAGTACGTAAGTACTGGTATGTACAGTACGTGTGTAAAAGATTTATTATACAATAAAAAAAAAAAATTGATTACTGTATTTGACACAATCAATCAGTAAAATTATTTTGAAAGGGACTAATCATTAATTACATACGTAAAGAAATTTGTTAGGTTTAAAATCACGCGAAACCATCAAGTTAATTACTAATTTTGAAAGAAAGGGAGGAGTAATTCTAGACCAAATTACAAATTACGTATTTATGATGTCGTATTGTTTGTGTCATATAATTGTTTATGAAAATTGTTTATGGAATAAACTTTTTTTTTTATATATACAGTATATACAGCATATACTGATACAGTAAGATTATAGTAAATAATATGAAAATAGATTAATTTTAAGAGTTTTAATTAATTTTGACAAATTGATTTAAAAAGAATTATTAATATTAAAGAGGAAAATTCCACACGCATACAGGATAGTTTGCAAAATTATTACATAATCAGGCTCACACAAAAAAAAGGGGGAAGTTTGTTAAAAATCTCCTGACATTAAATTTACACTAAATTTACACTAAATTTACACTAAATTTGCACTAAATTTGCACTAAACTTGCACTAAATTTGCACTAAACTTGCACTAAATTTGCACTAAATTTGCACTAAAGTGTAATATATTTGCAGTATGTTTACTAAATTACAATAAATTATATATAGTATATTGACAATAAATTACAGTATATTGCACTAAATTACAATATATTGTAATATATTGGCAGTATGTTTACACTAAATATGCAAGTGCTGTCAATGAAGAATGATGAACGATCAATGATCACAAGGTTATCACAAGAAATAAAGTATAATATTTTTTTATAAGCATGCATATACGTACATAAACATAAATTGTAAGAGTACAAAAAGTAAGCAAGAATTTAGGCAAGTGCCGACGTACAACAGATTTCTAAATTTAGAGATTTTTTTCAAGCATTCAAGAAAAGAATTTTTTTTTTTTTTTAATAATAACAAAAAAAGTAAGAGTGCATATTATGTATTGACAGATTTATTAAAGTTGAAAATCCACAGAGATATGTACATTTTTGGGAAATCAACATGAAAATTAATGCAAAGAATATTTTAACACTAAAACTAACTAAAACTGACGGGGTTGTGGGATGAGACCTAATGGGTGAGATTGGGGAATTGATTGAATTGATTGACGGTTAACACGTGAAAGAAATTGAGGATAAAATTGATGATTAGGGGAAGAGAATAAGAATTGAGAACGATTATAAGGTAAAGTAGTAGTGTTAAATTGAGAAGGAAGTAAATATTGAAAACGATTTAATTGATTCAGATGATTCAGATGATTTAGATGATTTAGATGATTCAGATGATTCAGCTGATTTAATTGATTTAGTTGATTTAGTTGATTTAGTTGATTTAGTTGATGGTTTAATTGATTTAGTTGAGTTAATTGATTTAACTGATTCGGTTGATTTAGTTGAGAAGGCAAATGATGAGCCGAATTCGGTAGAAACATCTGATTTACGGATAATGGATTAACAATCTGATTTGTAAACATAAAATCTATACATATAATAAAATATGAAAGAATAATTGGATAAAAATTGGATAAAATGAATAAAAAAATTAGTATAACGTAAAATAAGGTAAATAATAACACAACGTCATCAGATATGCATTAGATATGCAATAGATATGCATACATACTTGATTGTAATTCATCATTTTCTTCACGTTCATGACCTGGAGCCACATCCATTATGCTATTTGCTATTGTTCGACGCTGATCAATCCAATTTAGTAAATCATCATCACTGATGGAAGAATATTCTTGCATGGCAGTAAAAACATCTTTTGTCCAATAAACTTGAGATGCACCACGAAAAATGTAAGGCAGGGTACTGAGTACTTCATCAGGAATACACCAATTAATATAAAGTGTGTCACGTCTAAAGGAAAAATAGAAATGCATTGTTTATGAAAACATTCACGTATAACAACATTATGTATGTATGTATGTATATATATGTATGAATATATATGTACGTATGTACGTATGTACGTATGTATATGTATAACAACATCATGTACCGTATGTATAACAACATAATTATGGACATGTATAACAACATAATTATGGACATGTATAACAACATTCAAGTTTATATCGGTATATCGAAGTATATCGATGTATCGATGGTCTGATAATATGAACAATATGTATAACAACATTCTGTAGAACTTTTGTATAACAACATTCCAAATAATAATACGTAGTAATTTCATATAATAATATTCATATAATAATATTCACGTGAAAAAAAATTACCTTGTAGTTCGTTCATCCAAACACATTTCACAACATCTTACTCTGAATTGCCAATAAACTTTAACGAAACCGGTTTCACGTTCTTGACAAAATTGGCAACCTTTTCTTAATTGACGAAGGACGATATATTCTTTTTCAGTCATACCAGGAGGAGGAGGTAATTGAAGATGAGGTAAAAAATTTACACGAGAAGTTCTCCAGATCGATTGAGTAATAGGAGAAGTAGGATCACATAATAATCTCCTGAAAGTTTGACAAACTAATACGAGTGATAATAAATCATCAGGTGGCAGATAAGAACATATATAGCTAAATATTTCCATAGGCATGTCGATCATGTTGACAGATTTAGAAATAAGAGAAAGACCGTCATTTATTGATTTTGAGATCGTCTGTCGAGGAATTATTGGAGATAATTCGACCTTAGGGGTCTTAGGGGTCTTAGGGGTCTTGGGAGTAGTAATAATTGGGGATGAAACAGGATCGATTGGTTTAACAGGTACATCGTCTGGTATATCATTTGGTAAATCAGTAGGTGAATCATCATCAATTGGTGAGATCGGTTTTGGTGATTCGACAAGAGTCGTTACAGCAGTTATTGTTTGATTGATCTCTTTTGATGAAGAAGATTTTTTTTTACTTTTTGAATTTGAATTAATAGATTTACTAGTTTTTCGCGATTTACGACTAATCAGAGAAAAAATAAAGGAAAAATGAATTTAGATATTATAAAACGAATCAAGATAAAAATACAAGATAAAAATGCAAGATAAAAATACAAGATAAAAATGCAAGATAAAAATGAATTTAGATACGCATTGAAAAAAATTAACGAACGATTGGTATAATAGGTATAATAGGTATGAAATACATACACTTTATTATTTTGATTATTTATCTCACCCATTTTTAAAATTCTTTAATTCACAAATTTCTCAAAGTTCTTTAAGTTTTTTTTTAAGTTCTTTAAGTTCTTTGAGTTCCTGATATTCTTTGAAATATAATTGATTTTTTTAACGAAGCATTAAATTCGTTTAAAGCCTTTTTATAAAAAAAAATTTTTTTTTTATAAAGAATAAACTTGATTACGAGAAAGTCAAGATGATTAACGTTCAATTGCAGCAACGTGTTTGTGCATTGGCGAATTTCCCCCGTAATGTAAAACAAATGATAATAGATTTTTTGACACACATTTTAAATGATTACAAATAAATCGAACTCCGATTGGTAGTTTCACTAAAAGTCACGGCGCATATATTTGTTGATCCGCGTGAAACGATGCAATCAATATGTTTATGTGAATTGAAGGGTAATCTAAATGGAAAAATGGAAAACATGGGGCGTTAATAATAAGCAAGATTCTCTTACTATTGTAAAACCTGTTTTTTATCGGGTAAAGTCTGTATGGTACAATATATCGATATGATATACCGTAGTATTACAGTAGTATGTGTAACGATATATAGCATATAAAGTATAGTATGTCCGATATAGGATATAGCATATATATAACAACATCAAATATATCAAATATATCAGATATATGATATATCAGATATATCAGATATATAGATATATGCGTAGTAATGAGTAGATACGTAGTAGATTTTAATAATACGTAGTTAATAATAGTTAATAAATAGTTAATAATAGTATAATTTAATAATAGTACATAATACAGTGTATGTATGTATGTATGTATTTTTAATACTGTAATAGTACACAAGAACGCACGTATGCATACATTTGATCATACTTCAATCATACTTTAAAAATCATGATACCTGTTTCGGAGTATGTACGTACGCTTCTTCCTCCAATCTTTTTAAATGCATAAGATTGAAATTCCAGGAAATTATTTATCAGATGTTTATTTAAGGATAGAACCAATCAGGGAAGATAAAGGGGTCGATGATGTTTATGCATCTATCGTTGTTTATTTGTATTGTGAAATTCTAACCTTTTACAAACAATTTATTATCGTTATTTTTATTATCAATTATCGTTACGTATTATTATTATTATTATTATTATTATTATTTTCTTGTGCATCTACGTATATGCTTTTTCATCTGTATACATCTATATACATCTATATACATCTACATACATCTATATACATACATCTATATACATCTATATACATCTACATACATCTATATACATACATCTATATACATCTATATACATCTATATGCCTATATGCTTTTTACTCTGCTCACGATGCAAGATAATTTTGTGTTATGTAGTGTTATGTAAACTACGTACATACAGTATGTAGGTATCTATGTATACTATGTATACTATGTATACTATGTATCAGGTATGTACTATTATGTACGTACACTATGACTATAGTGTACGTACACCATGTACGTACTTACACTACCGCTACGTACGTTACGTACGTATTTGTAGGTTATCTTCTTGTTGTTATACCTGTTTGATGTACTGCCGTGTGACTTTTACATCTATAAGGCGCTATGTCCTCCCCTTCCAAACAATCAACAATACTTTTGCTTTTGATTATCCAATAGATTAGGTCTTGTGACTGAAAAGCCACGATCATATCCCATGCAATTCACTTATCTAATTTTATTCACACGCCTAATTCCTAAATGAGGCGCTGTCATTTTACCTCTGCGTTATCACTCAATTTGAGTTAGTTTGCTTCGAGTTTTTTCTTTTTGCCTTTGTTTCAAATTTTTTTTCTTGTGATTGTTATTATTCAATTAACTTCCTTTTTGGTTTCAAAGATGTCGCATTCTATTATTGGCATCTGAATTCCATCTGCAGATAAAAAAAATGTCGTTCTGCGCAATTTAACAAATTTTTTTTTTATACTTTTTCTCATGGCTTTTTTCTTGATTTCCGACAAACTGCTAATACTAATGCAATTCATGCTATCTGCCGCCTTTTTTTTTGTTTCATTGTCAGTGATAAACAATATTGGTTATACAAAGTTTAGATTTGTACTACTTGTCCTTGTCTCTTGTATCTCTTTTTTATTGGTAACTTTTATCATGTAATTTATTTGTAATTTATTCTATTTACTTTATTTTCGTTAGTTTGCTTTTAAAATTCCCTGTATTTCGGCGATCATGTGATTAATTAAGAATTTTTTATACTTATTAGGTTACTGTTGTTCAATTAAAATTGCATTCTGCCTTTTTATTTGTATTTCTTTATTTCTTTTGCAGATTTTTATAAATATGTAATAAATACCAAATTGCATATGTACGTATCTATATCTGATATTAACGTACGTACGTACGTACGTATCTATATCTGATATTTTAACGTACAATATTGATATCTGATATTAACGTACAGTACGTACAGTACGTACAGTACGTACGTACGTACGTACGTATCTATATCTGATATAAACGTAAGTACACGCACCTATGTATGCACGTATACACTTACTGTAAACTGTATGCAAATGCTTTATTTTCATTTTGGGTAAAAGAATTTCCATGATAAATAACTACTATCGTATCCGATGTTTCCGATGTTTCATGTGGTGAAAAGTAATTTTAATCTTTCATTTCTAAATAGAATTCTCCATGTCACGTGTTTACTAAACAATTCCTTTTTTTACTGCACTTATTACCGTGCTATTCATAACCAGTAACTAACGTTCCAATATCGTTATATTAAATTACTGATATTATTATATCGTTATCGTTTTTGTTTGTTGTTACGTAACGTATTGCTAGATTATTCGATTATTGAATAATAATTACACTACCGTAAAAAACTGAATTTCATATTCAAATACCGATACTGTATTACAAATAATTCTACAAAACTGTCTTAATTTACAATTGTATTAATTAAAAGATCGTCTTCGGTAGAATCCGATTTCTTATATAGCTTTCTATGGTAATAGTCCTTTGTAAATTTACCTTGTTTTGTATACTATGTCCTTCATAAAGTTTTATTACGTTTTGTAAGTTTTTTTTAAGTAACCTTATTTTTCGAGTATATTTCAAATTGGTCGGCCAAAAAAACTTCCGATTCTTTCTTTTGATAAATATTTATATCTAAATTTATTATTTAAAAATATAAATAATATCAAATAATATTAAATAATATTAAAACTGTTTAAATTCCTATTCACTCTATCCTACTCCTTTTTACAACAATAGGTTTCACAAATTGTCTTTATTTGATTATTGTTTTTATACAAGTTTTTTTTTAACTTATGAACTTGTGTTATTCTTGGCAGTTCTCGATTTACTTTGTCAAATTTAGGTTATAAAATCCGGTCCTTCGTCCATTGTCTGACCATTGTTGGTAGTGCGTCTCATGGTTTATTCATGATTTATTCATGATTTATATTTATGATTTATATTCATGATTTATTCATGATTTATATTCAGGAGTGTTTCATGATTCATCTTACCTATATTCTGTCATAATGCAGTACATAATGTAAAGGGAAACTAATGAATCCTTTTTAGAATCTTGACCGAATTTTTTTTTTTCAGACTATACTCATTTAATTGTTGATAAATTATACGCATAATATTATTCAACCATGCCTTCTTTGTTCTTTCTCCATACTCCTTTTTCACATTCTTTTCTTCATATTCCTTTCTTTGGTGATTTTCCTTGCAAATTCACCTTACTATTTATTCAACTTACTTAAAAACAATTTCTTTAATTATATCCGTACGTACTGTACGTACGTATAATTTATTTTATTTCCTAAAAAAGATTGTGTACATAAAAATTTATGAATTTCTGTATAATCAATGTTACTTGCCAAAGTTCAAAAAAACAATTTCATCGAACTTGAACAAAAGATTACTTATATTCGACGATTATTAAGTGAATTTCGGCAATAAACTTAAATATCTCGGGAGTGGGTAAGCTTTCGTTGATGATTTTGGATTTAAATGAATGCTTCAAGCCCTAGCATTCGTTTAAGACAAAAATCATCGTAAAAGCTTCATCAAAGTTTTAAGATACAAGTGCTATATTACTGTATTGCAGTAATCTTTTTAAGAAAAAATGTATATTTTAAAAACTATTGATCTGTTTTCGATGATTTCGGTCTTAAACGAATTCTAAGGTTTGTTGAAGCCCAAAATCACTGTTAATAGACAAGCTATTCTCAATTACTTGAGTATAATATTTTTCAGATTTTTTTTGTTGCATACTTTATGATTTATAGATTAAAAAAAATTGACAAAGGTGGATTTTGTTCTGTATTATATATCTGTAGTCTAACAAGATGGTATGCAAAGAACTAAAGAAATTGTGAACATCTAATATCTAATATCTAATACCGTTGCACTCAAATCTGATCGGATTGTATTTGTGTGAAATAATTCGCTGCGGCAATTTAAAACGATCCAATAACTATATAATTTAGCGAAAGATTTTTTTAGAACACTCTGTTTAATTATTACCTATATCTGCCCCGGATCTACTACATAGGGGTCTGATATCTGGGGTCTTGTATACGGCAGTTTACGGTATTTCTCTTTAGTTTGCGTGACTCGAAATAACGCCTTTGATGCTTTATTTCGCGCAAATACCAAATACGTATTGAAATAAATTGCTAACAAAACAAGAAACGTTCAAAAATAATGTCTATAATTTAGATTACAGAATGTATTATAACGGATGTTTGATAAGTCCCTAGACAGGACCTTTTTTATATCTCCGCTAGTATTAGTTTTTATTATATAAAATATTATAACGATATTACTAATTATTACGTATTTTGAATAAAGTATAATAGAAATTATGGTTTGTTTAATGATTAAAAAAAGGTTCTGTCTAGGGACTTATCAAACACCCGGTATATTTAAAATTTTAAAGTTACGCAAAATTTGCCAATACAAATATATGGTTTATTTTAAAGGTAGAGTAATTTTTATATAATTTTAT